ACCAATGTCCCCGGCCAGGGCTCCAACGTGGACCGCTCGATCCGGAGACGAGCGCACTAATCATGAGGCCACCGCGCCTCCCACAAACATAGCAGCGCGTTTTACAATTGAACCTTGTTTAAATGTTTAACAAAAGGCTCTTACAGCTCAGTGGGTAGTCGTCATCGCCGGCCAATGTCAGGATAAAGAATCTGACTTGTTCTCAGCAACTGCAATCTCATCTAACATTGACGTTTTTATAGGCTACTCTTGTAGTAATGTCGATTGAGGTTGCGTGTATGCGTGCCACGTGCAACAGGTAACCAAGATGATGTTCAGTCTCAAAAAACCAATTCGTATTTAGGTAAGGTGGGAACGGAGGACTTCCCTTCGGGACACACTGTTCTGTTCTAGATAGAATGGGATTAGGATCTTAGACATAGACTAAGAAGTACAGTTAAGAAGGTGAAACTTTTGTTCCTTTTTTGTCCTCAGACCACGAGGGAATGGAATTCCCTTCCAGGCAAAATAGTTCGTTTATTCCATCAACTTATCTAAACATTTGTCTAACCAGTCAGTCTCTATATAATTAACACTCATCGAAAGCATTTTGTATAAGTTAGAACAAGAGATTATAGTATTATCAAGGTAAGTAGCTTAGTTAGAAACAATACGAACTGAAACGTTTAATGTATAGACATTTTAATATTTAACAGCTGGCGTGATCCTCCTAGGGATCTTTTCAACGGTTTATATTTGTAGATTTTGATTTAGATGTGGATGCAGTTAATGTTATGATCTGATACTGTCTCTGCGGTTTATCTATAGGTCTCTTGTAATACAACTTGTATATACATGTAGTGATGAACTTTATTTATCCTCTTGGGGAGAACTGTTGTATACGGCATTTCAACCACTGTTCACGAACGTTCCAATTAGATAAAAGTAACAGTTTTTGAAACAAAGGACATTTGTTAGTGTGACACCTACAGTTATAAGTTTATAAATTTGTATCACAAAGCACTTAGTACAACTTCGTTTGCGAAACAATTCTTCATTGTATTCAATGGTATATATCTTCAATCAAGTATGCAAGTGACTTCAATAAAATAATGTTAAAACAAATGCAAAACTTAACTTGTCTTGATTCTTTAGTAAGGAATTCTCTGTCCAGAATCAAGCAAACACCCCCGGGGGGAGGGGTTACTCCCAGAAAGTTGGGTGGGGGTGTGCGGCCAACTTCCCAAAACCCTTACCCTATTTATGACTAAAATCTGCCATTTTTGCTACCCTCTTTATGACCTGACCAAAAATTCGATACTCTATGTACGACCGTTGCGGCTGGCTAAGTTGCCCTAAACATAAGTTATGAAGTTTGTTGATGGTCTTATCGATAATGACAAATGATGAAAAAGTAGCTTCTTCTAAGAAACATATCCAATTCAAGAATAGAGTGCAAAAACCGTGTCCTATTTATGGCCAAAATGGCTAAAATCACCAGAACCGATACCCTATTTATGAACAAAACGGCTGAGAAACCCTACCCTTTGGGGCAGTACATACCTATATAGCCCATATAAGGGCGTACCCCCCGGGGGCCAAACACCTTACTAAAAATAAACGGCACGCAATTCATGCGTTGACGTTTACTAATGTCAAGGTTATCCTGAACTTTGCAAAAGAAACTAACGGATGTAGAAGGTAAATAGAAGTGACTAAAATTGGTACAGCGTGTGTATGGAGTGAGAAGATTTGGCAGGAGTGAGACCAGAAATGGGTGTAAGGATTCTTCATGTCGAGAATCAAGCAAAAGCCTTTGCTAAGAATAAGTTTTGCGGGGATCTAAATCCACTGAAACGTCTGCATATATTTTAACTTTTCAGTCTTTTGACAATTATATTTTACATCAGTATAAAAGCTCCAGTGCAATGAAAGCACAATATGAGACAAAGTAATGAATTGCAATAATGGGGAACACGTGTGCTTGAAGATGGAAAGCTAGCTGATGCTTATACCAATCAACAATACAAACTTTATCACAGACGGTTACACAACATCAGTACCAAAGTATAATTTCCCCTCAGTAGGATTTCGACTTAGCTCTTAATAAGTGAAAAAAGTCAGTTTAATTTACATAAAGCTATATTCACCACTGAATACTTGTAAATAACTATTATATTTCAAATAATGCCCCAAGCCCTGATGTCGACATAAAAATTATCTACACACTTCTTCCTACGTTAACTTTACTTCCTTTACTGCTTTACTGACCATTTCTTTAATGCCGGCTGAGAGAAAAAGAACGAATAAGTTCGCAAAGCCTTTCTGGATCCACTTCGGCTCAGCTGACAAGAGATGAGTAAAAACTGTTTTTGTTTCTTGATCTGAGAAACGCAGTGGGTGTTTATTTAAAGTTGACAAATTAGCTTCTGTGTAATTAGAGTAAAAGGTGGTAAACTGTGGTACATGCTTTTGGAGGAGAGCAAATCTCAGACACTGATTACATTGCTGTCATAATAAAATGCTTCGGCAGAGAGACCAATGTTTGTTGAGTAACCAGAGTTTTAGCTGTAAGCAAAGTTATTCTGAAAGAGAATCCATCAGTAAGTGACAGGACCAATAAATTCTGTTTGAAAAAAATACAACGGCAGTAAACTATCAATTACAGCAGTGACCTTGTTTATGCATGTGAGAGCAAAAATGTACTGTAAAATTGACAAAAATGTGATGAAATTAGACAGTGAAGGATTAATCATCACAGCAGGCGTAGTTCAGGCGGTAACTTAATGTACACTGTAGTACACACACTACAATGTGGCATGCAACTTTATTAAGGACAAAGTTGTTAAAAAGTTTATTTCATGGTAAGAATCTCGCGAATCTCGTGTTCTATTCGAGAGTTCTTGTCAGCAACTGGACCTTGTACAACAATTGATCAGTTGACCGATCATCCCACAACATGTAGCAGGGGCTAATATGATTCCAAGAAATGGAAAGACTGTTCTAAATAACCCAAACACAGGCCAATGTTTTGACCATGCATTTCCGTATAACGGTGACACTTTACGACGGTTTGAACAATTGAGAAAGTGCAAGGGTTACATAAGGTTTAGAAATGAACGTAATAACGGTTTGCAAACAAAATGTATTTTGTATTATGATGAAGTCCTTTAAAAGACGCTGGTGCCACACTCCACCTTAACTGTAAGAAATTGGAAGAGTGTCAGGAAATTCAGGCCACTGAGAAAACTGAAGGATTA